AAGAAGGAGAGAGAAGAACTGAAGAAGAGAGAGAAGAAGGAGAGAGAAGAACTGAAGAAGAGAGAGAAGAAGGAGAAGAAGGAGACAGAAGAACTGAAGAAGAGAGAGAAGGAAGAAATATCTCATGCCATCTACTCAGGACTCAGTCAAACCCTCTGCGCTGCCCTCCTGGAGAAAACTGCCCTAACTCCTGAGATCGCTGCTCTAGCTGCTGGGAAAGCTGCTCTTGCTGCAGAGAATGCTGCTCTAGCGCCTGACAGCGCTGCTCTAACTGCTGAGAACAATGTTCTAGTTGCTGAGAATGCTGCTCTTACTGCTGAGGGAGCTGCTCTAGCTGCTGAGAATGCTGCCCTAGCTTCTGAGAATGCTGCTCTAATTGGTGAGAAAGCTGCTCTAGCTGCTGAAAAAGCTGCTCTAACCGCTGAGAACTTGATTCTAGCTGATGAGAGCGTTGCTCTAGCTGCAGAGATTTCTGCTATAACTGCTGAGATCCATACTCTAATTGTTGAGTCCAATGCTCTAATTGCTACGAACATTGCTCTAACTGCTGTGAAGGCTGCTCAAGCTCCAGAGGTAACAGCTCTAACTGCTGAGAAGGCTGCTCTAGTTGCTGAGAAGGATGCTCTTGCTGATGAGAAGGAAGCTCTAAGTGGAGTAAGTAGTGTTCTGGAGAGGAAGCTGGCTGCTCAGAATGCAGCTCTGGCCGAAGACAAAGCTGCAGCAAGGGCTGCTCTGGCAAAACAAAAGACTGCACTGACAAAGCAGCTAGACTATTATGCCTCACTGCTGTGTCATGCCACACACGACTTGGCCGACAGGGAGAACTCTCTGCAAACAGTAGGAGCCAGAGTAGAAGAATTGGAGAAGGAGCTCGAAGATCTGAAGACGACAATGAAAGTAAAACAGGAAGCAAGATTCAAACAGAAACTAGATCAGGGAGACAAAGGAGAAGACGCAAAATTGATCCAGCAGAACTCTGAGCTTCAGGTACGTTACATCAGATCATTTTAGATTTTATATGGATTGTAGGGTTGTTTCATGTTTAGACTTTGAAGAAAATGCTGACATTATGTTTTCTCTGTCTTTTCAGGAACTCTCATTGAAGACCGACTCGTACAAGGAAAAGGTCAAAAAGGAGGAAAAGGAGAAGAAAGAGAAAAAGAAGCAGGAAAACAAAGAGCAACTGGAAAGAGTAAAGAAGGAGAAAGAAGAACTGAAGCAGAGAGAGGAGAGAGAAGAGAAACACATGAGGAAGCTGTTCCCGTGTTTTGTCATTAAAGGCTGGAACTCGTCCTAATCTCACGCTCCTTCCAAAATATTTGCCGCAGTCACAACATCTCATCCAGAAAGCTGTGTACTCCCTCACCAACTTCTCCCTTGTCAACCAGTTCTATTAAATTCATTTTAAACTTACAGAAATGTTGTATTCTGACTATAGATACTATAAATACTGTTGATGTTGATTGCGTTGCATGAGACGGTTTGAAAGAAGATCTTGACATGAGAGCAGGGGAGCAGAGGAGCAACAGCTATGTCCATCCACTCCATAATACGTAAATTGAATGTTAATTGCGTAGAAATTAATACGGGCTTCAACTTTGTTGGGATGTTGTAATCACATTGTTGAGATATTAAATAAACCAATGTGTTATAATGAGCTACACAAATGCTAAGCTCTAGTTGGAGTGACTCCGTGAGTTTGTGCGTGTCTCAGTCCTGCGTGTCTCTCATGAGGCAGCTCAAGTGCAGTCTTTTAAACCAGGAGGATCAATCAGCTAACAGCTCACATCTACACTGGTTGATCCTCTGGTACAGGTGAAGCTGCTCTCCCAGGCCCCTAACCTCCACAGTAATGTTATGTAATATATTTTCACTTCATTTTTGTTTAATGGGGTTCATCTTAATTACATCTCTGATGCTAAAACATCAACCACAAAGGAGACAGCACCTGGCTGGTGCATGTTTGTCGCCATTTGTTGATGAGTCAAACATTCAATCTGTTTAGCTGCTAAATGTAAAGTAGAACATTACTGACTAACTCACCGCTGTGAGCATGTTCCAGATTTTGACTTACATCCATACTTTATTTTAATATTTTATCTTTCATTTCAGATATCTCTGATCCTGGAACTGCAGGAGAACAACTATTATTATTATTATTAACAACAATACTTATTAGTAATTAATTATTATATGAATTGTTGCTGC